CGCCCAACGTGGGGCTCGAACCCACGACCCTGAGATTAAGAGTCTCATGCTCTACCGACTGAGCTAGCCGGGCTCTGCTGGGCTGGGGTATATTTGGGGTAAAACAACCCAAAAACTCCCAAAAAGGGACAAAAAATGAGATTTAATAATTTTTTTAGGGTGGGAAGCGCTTCGTCTCGGGGCGGGACGAACCGAGCTGCAAACAAACCGGGTGGTTTTGGAGCTGAAAATTCAAATTATTGTTGGGTTTAATACGGGAAAAGAGCGAATTTCCCTGGCCGGGAATCGAACCCGGGCCGCGGCGGTGAGAGCGCCGAATCCTGACCACTAGACCACCAGGGAACTCACATTTTTAACAAATTCACCGATCCCGGTGGTTTTTAACCCAAAATTAACCTTGGGGTTTTTTCCCCGGGATTAATAAATATTAAAAGTGGGAAAAATAGGTTGGGGAAAAATGGATTTTTTTCCTTTTTTTTTTTTCTCAAAAAATGGAGCAGAAAAGGTTTAATTAATTCTTTATTTCGGTGTAAAAAGTGGGGTTTTTTTGTCCCTTCCCTCTTTTATGGTGTGGAAATGGGAAAATCCTCCCAGTTCGCCAGGGTTTGGGATCATTTATTGCCTTTTTTTTTTCCTGGTTTTTAGGCTAAAAATGGGGGGAAAAGGGGAGGAAATGACCCCAAAAAAATCACTATTAAAAGGGTGGAAAAAGGGAGAAAATGACTCAAAAAAAGGTGGAAAAGGGGAGAAAAAAACCCTGAAAAAAATCACTATAAAAAGGGTGGAAAAGGGGGGAAAATGACCCCCAAAAAAATCACTATACAAAGGGCGGAAAAAGGGAGAAAATGACCCAAAAAAATCACTATAAAAAGGGTGGAAAAAAAGGAGAAAATTACCCAAAAAAATCACTATACAAAGGGTGGAAAAGGGGAGAAAATGCCCGCAAAAAAGGATGGAAAAGGGGAAAAAATGACCCAAAAAAATCTCTATAAAAAGGGGGGGAAAGGGGACAAAATGACCCCCAAAAAATCACTATTAAAAGGGTGGAAAAGGGGAGGAAATGAACCCAAAAAGGGTGGAAAAGGGGAGAAAATGACCCCAAAAAAATCACTATAAAAAGGGTGGAAAAGGACCCAAAATTTTGGGTGTTTCTGCCTGGTTTCGAACCAGGGACCTTTCGCGTGTGAGGCGAACGTGATAACCACTACACTACAGAAACCTCGAATTTTGGCTCCGGGGGGTCCAAATTTGGGGGAAATTCGCCCTAAAAAAATTTTTTTTAATTTAATTTAATTTAATTTAATTTATAAATTCTTTATCAATTTAATTTATTTAATTCTTTGATTGGTAAAATTAAATTAATAATAAAAATGTGACTTTTAAAATGAATTAAATGAAATTTAATTTAAAAATCAACGATTTATTTCCTGTGCTTAATTATTTAATTTTTTCAAAATTAAATTAAAAAATAAAATAATCAAAATTTCAAATTATTTAAATCAAACTAAAAATTAATGATTTATTTCGTGTGTTCAATTATTTAATTACTCAAAATGAATCAATCATAAAAAAATTAAATTGTAAAATGAATTAAATTCAATTCGCAATTCATTTATTTATTTAATATGTTTATTTCATTAATCAAAAATTATTTTAATAATAAAATAATTAAAATTTTACATTAAAAATCCTTCCCGAGGATTTTAAACCCCCCCTTTTTAAAACTTTTACTCCGAACTTAAAAAATATTAAAAAAATTATTAAAAAAAAATTTAAAAATTATTTTAAAAAATTTAAAAATAAATAAATAAAATAAAAATGTAAAAAGGAAGGGAAAAGCCCCAAAAACTTGGCTGTTTCTGCCCGGTTTCGAACCGGGGACCTTTCGCGTGTGAGGCGAACGTGATAACCACTACACTACAGAAACCTGGGAAATTTGGGATCTCAACCTGTTCTGAGACACCAAAAACCCCAAATCCCACCCCAAAAAATCCCCGTTCCCTTCTCCTTAATTAACAATACTATTAATAAATTGATTTTTATTATTATTAATTTTTTAATTTTTATTTTTCATTTATTAGTAATTATTAAATTTTTATTTACTGTCATATTTTATTAGTAATTATTTATTAATTCTAATAATAATATTAATCCTTTTTATTGTTAAGAATCCTGGTTTCATTTCTTGATTATTAATTATTATTTTACTATTTACTGCTCTACTCAATTTTATTAATAATTATTTATTAGTTTTATCAATAATATTAATTATTGTTATTAACTCTATTTTTATTTATTATTTATTATTTTACTATAAACCATTATATAATATTTCAATTACTAATCATTAATTAATTTTTAAATATTAATATTAATATTTATATTTATTAATTATCATTCATTATTTTACTATAAACTATACACTTTTATTTTAATTGATAATTATTCCTGAATTTTTTTAATAATAGTAATAGATTTAATATTTTCCTTTTAGAAAAATTTTTAATTCTAGAATTTAACATTAAGAATTTAATATTTGAATTTTAGAAAATATTTTTAATTCCAGAACTCAAAATTCAGAATTTAATATTTTTTAATTTCAGTAAAGATTTTATTTCCAGAATTTAAGGTTTAGAATTTAATATTTGCATTTTTGGGGGGGTCAATGACGCTCAAAACCCCCCGAAATCGGTAAAATTTGGGCAAATTGCGGCTCCCTGGTGGTCCAGTGGTCAGGATTCGGCGCTTTCACCGCCGCGGCCCGGGTTCGATTCCCGGTCAGGGAAGGGAAAAGTAAAAATATTTTACTAAAAAATTAAAAAAAAAAAAAATTAAAATATTAAATTCTAGAATTAAAACGTTTTTTAAAAAATTTTAAAAAAATTGGTTTTTTTCGAAGCCAAAAGCCTCGAAAAGGAGGAAAAAAAAATCAAAATATTCGGTGCTGTAAACCCGGATTTTTTATTGCAAAATTCAGCGAAAAATCGAGGCACAAAAATCGAGTGAAAATATTAAAATTGGGATATTTTGGGCTGTTCCTGCCCGGTTTCGAACCGGGACCTTTCGCGTGTGAGGGGAACGTGAGAACCGCTGCACCACAGAAACCCCCGCGGGCCCAAAATCATCATTTCACCCCCAGGGCAGTGGAAAATTAATTTTTTTTTTCTTTTATATAGGGAGGTTTTTCGTCGTCGACCCCAAAATCGCGTGGATTCTTTTTTCTTTTCTCAGGGTTTTTTATTTTTATTTTATTTTTATTTTATTTTTAATTTATTTTTTTTAAAATTTTATTTATTTTTATTTTTATTTCCATTTTAATTTTTATTTTATTTATATTTCTATTTTTATTTTATTTTTATATCTATTTTTATTTTTTGTCATGTTTTTATTTTTATTTTTATTTTTATTTTTATTTCTATTTTTATTTCTATTTCTACTTTTATTTCCTTTTTTATTTATTTTTATTTCTATTTTTATTTTTATTTCTATTTTTATTAATATTCATATTTTTTATTTTTATTCATATTTTTTCCTATTTTTATTTTAATTTTATTTTTTCATTTATTTTTAGTTTTAGTTTTATTTTATTTGTTTTTATTTTTTCGTATTTTTATTTTTATTCATAGTTTTATTTTTATTTTACTATTTTAATTTTAATTTTATTTTTTCATTTATTTTTATTTTATTTATTTTTATTTTTTTCGTATTTTTATTTTTATTCATATTTTTTATTTCTACTTTTTTCCTATTTTTATTTTAATTTTATTTTTTCTATGTTTATTTAATTTTTTATTTTTATTCATATTTTTTATTTCTACTTTTTTCCTATTTTTATTTTAATTTTATTTTTTCATTTATTTTTATTTTTTTTCTGTGTTTATTTAATTTTTTTATTTTTATTAATATTCATATTTTTTATTTCTACTTTTTTCCTATTTTCATTTAAATTTTATTTTTTCTCTGTTTATTTAATTTTTTAATTTTTATTCATATTTTTTATTCCTACTTTTTTTTGGTTTTATGTTAATTTTATTTTTTTTTATGTTTCTTTATTTTTTTATTTTTATTTTATTTATTTACTCAAAAAAAAATTAAAAAATCGCTTTTCCAGAGGGAGAATTGGAAAGGAAAGAATTGTAAAACACAGAACTCGGCCGAGCCCGGCGTTGGGTGAAATTCCCTTTTTCCCTCTCCATTTTACCCGAAAATTCCCTTTTATTGACACAAAGTAATATTAATTATATTTATTATATTTTAATGATATAAAATAAAATATATGAAATACACATTTTAAATATATTTGAAATCTTTTAGCATAGTATTATTTAATATTATTATTAAAAATTAATAATAATATTGAAGTATTATTACAGTTTAATAATAAAATAGATATAAAATATATAGAAAATTTAATCTATTATATAATAATACGATTTAATATTAATAACATAAAGTAATAATATCATTTAAATATTTTTACAGTTTAATAATAGAATAGATATAAAATATACAGAAAAAATATATAATACATATTTAATATATCATATAATATTATAATTTAATATTATTATTATTAATATTGTTTTAATTATATATATTATTATAATAGTAGATACAAAATACACATAACATACATTTAATATATTGCATATAGTAATATTATTTTTTAATATTATTAATATAAAATTATTTTATTATTATTACATTTTAATAATATACATACTAGATATATTTAATACATATTTAATACGATTTAATATTTATTATTATAAAAATATAAAATACTATTTAATATTTATTAATATAAAATAATACGATTTTTAATATTATTCTATTTTAATAATATAGTAGATACAAAATATATATATAATACACATTTAATACATATTTATTATACTGTATAATCACATATTTATATATTTAATATTATTAATATAAAGTAGTAATATAATATAAGATATACAGGGAAAATATATATTTAATACATATTTAATATATTACGTATTACTATTATTTAATATTATTGATATAAAGTAATAACATTAATTTAATAATGTTATTTTAATAATATAATATATAATAATATATAAATACACTTGTTTTCCCAGGTGTTTTTCCAGCCGTGTCCCTGTTTTTCCAGCTGTATCCCTGTTTTTCCAGCCGTGTCCCTGTTTTTCCAGCCGTGTCCCATTGTTCCCACCGAACAATGTCCCTTTTCCTCCCGGGTCGTTCCGCTCCGGGCTCATCCCGAGGTTTTTTTGGGAATAAAAAGGAGCCGCAGTTCCCGGGGGGTTCTCAGAGCACGAGTGGAACCAGAGCCTGGTAAGGGACAACTGATATTATTTTATATTTTATAAAGAAATATACAATTTTATGTATTTATAAAGATATTTTTAGAGTTATTTTTCTTACACCACCGTCTTTTTTTTTAATATTTTATAGGTATAAAAAAATATTTTATATCTTAATATGATTTTAGGCCTGAGCACTTTTACCTTGGCGTTTTATAAAATAGAAATAAAATATATATAGATAAAAATATACATTATAAAAATCTATATATAAAAATATAAATAAAAAAATATATAAATGTATATATAAATATATATTGTATTTTTATATTATTTTTATATATTTTATATATTTATATATTTATATATAATTTTATATAATTTTATATTTTATAAAATATCAATATTTATATTTTTATATAATTTTATACATTTTTATATATAATATGTATTTTACATATTTTATATATATTATATATAATATATACTACATATATAGTATGCAGTATGTATTAAATTATAAAAATATACCTTTTATATTATATATTTATATTTAAATTTAAAAATAAATTTAATTTATTAAATTTTATTTAATTTATTTATTACCTACATTTAATTTATTATTTAATTACCTATATTTAATTTATAATAAATAAAAAATAAACAATATAAATATTAATAAAAGTAATATTCTAATATATATTTTATGTATATAAAATATCCCTTATTATTATATTTTATATTTAATAATTTAATTCAATATCTTTCCACTTTCAGCTCCACGACTCGCGAAATATTCAGGAAAAAACCCTTAATTTTTCAGGTAATTCCAGATTTTAGCTAAAGCGACACCAAATTGGGATTTTCGGTGAAAAAAGGGGTAAAACATTGGAATTTTGGTGCTCCGGGAGCCCGGCTAGCTCAGTCGGTAGAGCATGAGACTCTTAATCTCAGGGTCGTGGGTTCGAGCCCCACGTTGGGCGACTGAAACATTTTGCCCTTTTTTTTCCCCAAAAATCTGCTCCTTTCTTCCCCCCCAAATCTGATTTTTTTCCCCTTTCTTCCCCCCAAAATCTGATTTTTTTTGCCCCTTTTTTCCCCAAAATCTGATCCTTTTTTCCCCCCAAATCTGATTTTTTTCCCTATTTCCCCCCCAAAAAAATCTGATTTTTTTTGCACTTTTTTCCCCAAATCTAATCCTTTTTTCCCCCCAAAATGTGATTTTTTCCCCCTTTTTTCCCCCAATCTGATCTTTTTTTGCACCTTTTTCCCCCAAAATCTGATCCTTTTTCCCCCTAAAATTGATCCTTTTTTCCCCCAAAATCTGATTTTTTTTCCTCTTTTTTCCCCCCAAATCTGATCCTTTTTTCCTCCAAAATGTGATTTTTTCCCCTTTTTTTCCCCCAAAATCTGATTTTATTTTTCCCCCCAAAATCTTATTTTCTTCTCTTTTTCCCTCAAATCTGATCCTTTTTCGCCATTTTTTCCCAAAAATCTGATCCTTTTTCGCCATTTTTCCCCAAAAATCTGATCCTTTTTTCCCCCAAAATCTGATTTTTTTTTTGCACCTTTTTCCCCCCAAATCTGATTTTTCCCCCTTTTTTCCCTCCCAAATCTGACCCTTTTTTCCCCAAAAAAATCTGATTTTTTTTCCCTTTCTCCCCTAAAAATCTGATCTTTTTCCCCCCATAATCTGATTTTTTTTTTGCCTTTTTTCTCCCCAGATCTGACCCTTTTTTCCCCTTTTTTTCTCCCCAAATCTGACCCTTTTTTTCTTTTTTTCCCCCCAAATCTGCCCCTTTCCCCAGGAAATCTGCCCCTGTCCCACCATGAAGCTGCTGCTGCTGGGCCTGACCCTGATCCTGGGCTGCGACCTCGGTGAGAGGAGGGGCAGAAGAATAAAATAATACTACTAATAAATTAGTATCATTATTGATAGCATTAATAATAATAATATTGTGTATTTTATATACTACATATAAAATAATAGTATTATTACATTTATTTTATTTATTTTATTTATTTAATTGCATTTTTAATTTATTAATTTATTTATTTAATTGTATTTATTTATTTATTTAATTTATTTAATTGCACTCATTAAATTTATAATAATAAAAATTAAATAGCACATATACTGACTGATAATTAATAAATAATAAAATTAAATTTATAATAATATTATTATTAGTTATTTAATTTTTAAATTACATTTAATTTATTGATTTAATTAATTGCACTCATTAAATTTATAATAATAAATAAATAAATTAAAAAATATATAATAAATTATAATTAAATATATACTAAAATTAAATTTATAATAATAATGTCATTATGTTTATTTAATTTATTAAAATACATAATTTAATTTATCGCTTTATTTAATTTAATTTTTTTAATTACATTAATTTAATTTACTTAATTAAATTAAATTTATTAATTTACTCAATTACATTTATTTGATTTATTTTATTTGTTAATTTAATTTTATTTCATTAATTTCTTAAATTTGCTAATTTATTTAATTCCATTTATTGAATTTATTTTATTTGTTAATTTAATTTTATTCCATTCATTTCTTTAATTTGCTAATTTATTTAATTCCATTTATTGAATTTATTTTATTTGTTAATTTAATTTTATTCCATTAATTTCTTTAATTTGCTGATGTATTTAATTCCATTTATTAAATTCGTGCCCCCCCGACCCAGGGCAGCCCCTGCGGTGCCCCCATGGTATCAGGGGGGTCTTTGTGCCCCCCCGGTGACCCCATTTTCCCCGGACCCAGGGCAGC